TCATAATTATTGGAAACACATAATATATTTTAATTGACCCGATAAAATAAAATATATTTAAACTAGTCCGAAAAATACAACTTGCGGGACCGATTGTACACTTCTGGACAAAAAGGGTTGACCTCCCACATGGGTGGGGGCCAACCCACGAATTTAGACACACAAAATGAGGTGTGGGGCGGCTGAGTAAGAGGAGGAAGATGGGTAGAGGTTGGGTTGACTTGAGAGGCATCTAAAGGACAAAGGTGGGTCTCTCAACCCACACATAATTGCCTATTGAGACAAAAAGCCAACCCCAACCCCCTCTCTCCATCATTTTCGACCACACCACCCCAACCAAGAGCAAGAAAAACTCCAGCCACCTCTCACCATTGTTGAAGGAAGCTCCAACAAGAAGGAAGCTCCAGGGAAGAGTTTAAGTTCTAAAAGTGTACAAAACTCGGGGAAAAACTAGGTAATGACTCCTTTTACCTTTCTCTTCTCTTTTTCTTGAATATATTATTATTTGAGAAATTATGAAGAACCCTAGGATTGTTCTACATGTTGATAAATGTGGAACAAGGGGTTGGAAGGTGGTTCTATGTCAAAAATGGATTTAGAAGCCAAACCGACAAGTTCACCGGAAAATAACCTTTTAGAGGTTATGTGTATTGATTAAGGTTTTATGATGTTAAAACCTTGTTAGGAACGTGATTTAGAGTATCTTTGAGCTTCGTCGGAGTTTCGCCGGAGTTGGTCAAAGTTTGCCGGAGTTGGTCAAAGTTAGTCAAAGTTCAACCGGGAAGCGTAGAAGGCGCTTAAGCTCACTTAAGGTGAGGATGACCGACTATATTGCTTATAATTATTGGGTTAATTTCATGAGATTACCTAAATGAATTAAATATGTTTGGCATGGTTTATAAATGATAAAAGTGCCTAAATGAAATTAATATTGTTTATAAGCGAAAATGCATAATATACAAATGGCTAAAGAGTCAAATAGGTACATGAACTAACTTAAAGTGTTCAATTAACCCATTATATAGAAGGTTCTGCCCGGCCGTCGCCAATTGGGGCGGTTCCCGGTGAAATTTTTTGATGAAATTTTTTGAGCATCTTCTTCATTAAGTCTAGTTTACCCATATCAAATTTCAGCTAAAAGTTAAATCGGGAAGACAGTCAAATGATTTTCCGAAATGTACTACGTTGTTGAAACTGCGCAGTTATCTTCAAAAATCATTTGACTGCCTTCCCGGTTGAATTTTTAGCTGAAATTTGGTATGGGTAAACTAGACTTAATGAAGAACATGCTCAAAAAATCTCATCAAAAAATTCCACCGGGAACTGCCCCAATTGGCGACGGCCGGGCAGAACCTCCTATATAAGGGGCTAATTGAACACTTTAAGTTAGTTCATGTACCTATTTGACCCTTTAACCTATACAAATTTATGAATAAATTGTGTATGATTATGTGTTATGAATAAAATGTCATGATAGTTGTATTAACCATGAATGTTCATTGTGATAAATATACTTTTACCTCATGTAAAGAAGTCATGGAAGGATAAAAGTGATATTTTGATATTAGAGCCAAACTATACTTGAATGTGGAATTAAATTGAAATATACGAACTATTATGAATTTGCATTGGTCACATTAAGATTTAACGACTAGTATAGAAATACTAGTCGGAAATGTTAGTTCGATAGTCTTTGGAGCTAATCCCAAGATATTGGAGCTAAGTAACCTTAGAGGATAGTTTTAAGGTGAACTTTATGAACCCAAGTTACATTAGGAGTAAGCCTTAAGGGTTACTCAAAATGGAGGGAGCCTAGACTAAGAAATTGTTTAGGATTAGATGACGTGACTATGAGCCGATCTCTAGCACGTGGTAGTATGACTATGAGCCGAGCTCTAGCAAAAACGTAGTATGACTATGAGCCGAGCTCTAGCAAAAATGTAGTATGACTATGAGCCGAGCTCTAGCAAAATGTAGTATGACTATGAGCCGAGCTCTAGCAAAATGTAGTGTGACTATGAGCCGAGCTCTAGCACAATTTAGTATGACTATGAGCCGAGCTCTAGCATGAAGGAACATGAGTAATTATAAAATCATAACATACTAGATTGAGGGTCTTGGAAATTGAAACTTTGAATATACTTAGTATAGTTGTCATTGTACTTGTCAAATGTTTCCAAGTACTAACCTCCCCTTCACGGGGGAGGCCACCTCACAGTTTCAGGTAGAACTTGAAGGTTGCTACCATCGCCGTTGCTTTCGGGAGGATCCAAGGAGAGGAGACGTGGTTCGTGCTTTCTCCGTTTCCATTTTTACAAACTATTTAATTAATGCTCATGGATATTATTTTTAAATATTTATTTGGGGGCTTGTATGCCCATGTTTGCCAAGGGGTGGCATGAACACTTGTATTGAATGTTTCCGCTGTTTTAAATGAATATTTTACATTATGTTTGGTTATGGATGTACTATGTGTGAATGATATTCCAGACGCCTTGTATAGTATGGATGTGTTGGACTGCGGTTGACTATTCGTACTATACGGCGGGTTGTTGACGTGTCCGGTTGGGTCCGGGGCGTGACAGGCCCACCCCGGGAAACCGGTTCCGGGCCTAGACCCATCCCGAGGGGGTAACCAGGGCGGTTCCGGTGCCTTAAAAAGGAGAACCAGTCCGGCTGGTTCGGGCCTATTTTTTTTTTTTGGGGGGGGGGGGGCTTGGAATGGGTTTAGGTGGGCTGAGTGTTTCCAAAGGGCCGCGGTTGGGGTGGGGGATGGGGGGTAGGGGTTGAAATAAATAAGAAAACAAAAAAATTGAACTGGAAACCGGACCGGCCCGGAACCGATAGAACCCAGGTAGAAGAACTCAGGCCGGTTCCGGGCCTTACCCAAAATGTTCCAGGCCCGAGCCGGAACCAGATCGGGCCCGGTCCACCACTAATTCTACGCCATGGTGCAAGACTACATAAAATTCATCCTCAAATAGAGTAATAAGTTGAAGCGGGATTTTCTTTCAAAAAAACAAAAGTTGAAGCGGGATTTTAGCCTTGATTGATTTTTAGATCCTCAAAAGATTTTCAAAATTTGTTTTGGTCAAACATTCTAAAAGTTTAGTGGCCGTTTGGAGTCTTAAAAATGGGCTGAAAAGCCTGAAAATGCAAAAATAAAGCCAAACACATGGCTAGTGGGCTGATTGAGCTGTTTTTTCTTATCAACCAAAGAAGTAACAAAATAGTTACTTTTTGAGCTGAAAGTTATTAATCTGCAGTTGCAAACCTAAAATACCGTATTACCCTTTTATTTTACGCTTAATAATACATTTCCTTTTCTTGGCCTTACTCTGTCCTTCCAGATCGATGATGAGCCGCTCTTCCATGGCTGCGCATAGTTTTGTTCTTGCAGTACGAAGACTTCCTGCTTGACTGCGCCATTGTTTTAGCCTTCCAGATCAATGAATTGCAGCTTGGTTTTTCCATAAAAAATCATATTGTCTTCTTCTTCAATTGTGCGTTGCCCTCTATTCCATATTGACGAATTGTTTCTTGTGCTTATTTCAAGTGTCATACGCAGTACAAATTATGATGGAGCTTGTGTTGTTGCCTGTTGGTTGATTTTTAAATGTTTATTTAGTTGTATTTTAAGCAAAATGAGAGAATACAAAACCATGCTCTGTTCCCTTGAAATTGGTTGAACAGAGATGGACTGTTCTTTTTGCATTTTGGGGCTTTGGTGGTTCTGGTTCATTTGTTATTGATAGAACAGAGATGCGATTGTAATAAGGTCAGGTAATGGTCAACTGGTCATATATTTAGCACAAATAAGCATATGCCCTTTATAGTAATTTTATGCTCAATCAGCCATTTCAGTCAATATATTACCAAACACTTTCACTTCAGCAAATTCAATCTTTTCAGGATTTTCAGCCATTCCAACCAATGTAGCTGTTACCAAACAGGCCCTTAATGTTTTGTTGCATCACCGTGTTGATATGCCAGTACTGAGGCTGTGTCAAACTGTCAGGTTACGTAATAAGGGTGTAATGGGAATTATTATTAGATATGGATCATATACCTGGAACCATTACTCAAGAGCCCAGTCTAAGGAAAGATACTAAAGCAAGAGATCGGATCGGTAAAAATTTGAGCTCATAAACATTGAAGTGGCCTGGTTCATCACTTTCGGTCATGTTGTCTATTAAGCATTGATTCATATATCACACATGTAAAATGGACATATACTTTCAATACAAGAACCAATAAGTAAAATATACCAAAACAGGAATAATATTAGTAAACACCTTAATTTGCAAAAAGTCTGCCCAGGACGGCCCCGAGCCCGGCTTGGCCCGGGACCGGTCCATGCCTAAGTGCGATTAGTGCGGGTCGTGCGGCTCATGCGGCTCCATGGCTTTGGGAATTCAAAAGGCAAACATGATTCATTACGATAGGAGCTATTGACTGAGTTAGACCCTCCACCAATTTTATGATTGCCAAGTCAGCTTCACTAGATCCATATTCTTTTGCATTGGAGAGTAATTATAAAATTTTAAATATAGAGTCTATTGGCTCATGTGTAACGCATTGTAAGAGCAATCCATCTCCACATTGAAGATTCCCTAAAAGGTGAACTGAAAACAAAATAGTGCATATTGCAATGATGAAAACAAAAAAAAAAATGTTACAAGAACCTAAAAGAATGTGTATCATATTTGTAGAGACTAAAAATATGTTTAAGCCTAATTATAATACTCTTTTCATACCTTTTTATTTAGCCAAACACTATTTCTCAAGTCAATGATGTTAAAGTTTGACAAATTATATATTTACACACCGTAATATTGATAATATAAAAATTGTATGAAAATATTCTTTGTTAAATATAATATTATAAAAGTATAAATTTATTAATTAAGTTTCACATAAAAATATTAGTTAAAATAATTGATCGAAGTTTATACTGGAGAAGTCAAAGATGGCTAAATAAAAAGGGATGGAGATAGTGGCTAATATGTTTCTAAATAATACTCTATCTATTCATGTCTTAAATTTTTGTCAATATATTTTTGGTTGTCTCACTAATTTTGTCATTTTCCCCTTTAAGTAAGAATCTGTGATTTAATTAGTGAATTGTTGGTTTAATGTACAAATGTCAACCACATAATTCTTACTCTATTAATCCTCATGTCAGTCAAATGTGACCAAATTTAAGAGACAGTGGGAGTATGAGTTTATTGAAATATAATATTAACATCAAGTTATATTATTGAAAAACAAATAATGTTGAATATATTACCAAGGGTAAATGTAAAAGTAGATTTTAAAATGATTAAAAAAACTATTGAAAGCAAAAGATGTAAAAGTAAAGATAAAGATTCGGAATATATACCCTTGTCCGAATTTCTAAAATCCCAAAAAACAAAAATCAATTATCCGATTGGTTCATGGAATCCAAAATTTCACTTTACTCGGATTCATGGATTGTACGACGACGACGAAGACGACCCGCGGTCGGGTTCCAAGATCACCCATGCAGCTTCCCCTTTGCCGCCTGTCAAGAAGACCAAGATCAAGATACTCAAGAAGGGTGCTTCGGTTGATGCTCTTTCTCCTTCCCCGAGATGTGGCGGCGGCCGTGATGTTCACGGCGGTGCAACCGTGGGATGCAAGAGAAAATCCCTCTCTGGGAATGGGCGGCTCAACAGCAAGGCGGTCCAGGCTCCAACATGTGGGGTCAAGCAGAGGTTGCTTTCAAAAATGAAGAGGAGGAAGGTCCAATATAATCCAACATGGATCCGCTAGCTAATCATAGGATGGATGAAATTCAACCTTATTCTTAAAATGTGTTGATCGTTGATGAACTGATGATGTAGAATAGGTTAGGTTAATTCTTATCATTTTTATCACATGAAAAAGTATGTAGCTAGGTTTAGCTAGTTTATTTGTGTGATTCGTGTGTATTAGTACAAGACAACCAGAACTACGTGTGGCTTGATCCCGGATTCTACAAGAAATAGAAGAATCCGGGTACGTAGGCAGCCTTTGCTCTATTAATAAAAGGTTCAGCTCCAATTCTTTTCCAATTTTAGAAGATGTTCCATTGTTAGTAAGCGAATAAGTGTATTTTGTTACGTTATTTGCGTAGTACAACAATATACTATACCAAGTACTTGGTATGTAATAAGAGGTGCTTCATAAAAATTAGTATTATAAGTATTTACATAATTCACCAAGTCAATGTATGTATTAAAGCATGTCTGTACTACAAGACTGGTCTATTAATGCTTAGAATTTCAGTAATGTGTTCACGCGAAAACTTGGGCCTGAAGTTCATCAAGTGTATTTTTTTGTCCAGTTAGCCAATTTGTAGTCCTATAAAGCATAGGACTAGTACTGAATTAAGTAAATACAACTGAAATTCCAATTATATTCAAGTATTAATACATCGGTCTTGGGGTATTAAGCATGTAAGTGAAGAGATGCAGAGCTGCTTATTAAGCCGGAATCAGGGAAGAGAAGAAGCTAAGATGACAATTAAAATAGAAATAATAAGGAAGCGGCGGTTTAATTAATGTTTACATGGAGTCTAGCTAGTCTCCCTGTTGTTGAGTATTAGAATGCTTTTACTTGGTTTATAATCCATTGCAGACTAGACCGGACTAGATCAGATCAAACCAGAACAGACCAGACTTGGAAAGTTATAAAAATACAGTGACTAGACATTACCAGATCAGACCAGTTCAGAGCAGATCGGCAATGGGATAATCCACTGAAATTTATGATTACTAGTTACTCCACCCGTGCATTGCACGGGAGTAAAGTATTACACTACATATGTTTAGGTGAATTATAAAAACGTAAACAATACTTGATGTTGAATCAATTAACGGAAAATATTAAAATAAAATAAGATGACATACTTAATAGAAAATTAAAAAATAGTGCTTAAAGTTAAATATAAATCATCACATGATGAAATAGGTGTGCATGTATGTCCACGAAACATTTAAAGGAAACTACAAAGTACTATAAACTTCTTTTTATACGATATTTAATGCATACCTAGTTGGTTATCCGTCTTTATCACATATCACAAATTCCAACCCAGATGGACTTTTTACTTTCGAGACAGTCACGTACAACTGTTTATGCATAAAAATGGACTGACGGAGGATGATGCCAACTCTTTCCATTAAATGTATTGGCTATTATTATTGGTCATAATAGCTTTTATGACCCATAAGTGTATAAGTGTTAATGTAAATTATCTACGTGGATAAGTGTATAGCAGCCTAACTTCTATTGGTGTTAAAGTATGTCTAGGAAAATAAACTTTTACTCGATGCTTTTGTGTGCATTGTTTGAGTCATGATAATATGAGCAAGTTTAGTCACCTGAAGGTGTGTGCCCTTACACAATCCAGATGAATGATTTATATTTCTCATAAGTATCATAGGCACCCCCACTTCCAGTTTTGGCTCAGGACTCGGCAAATCGAAAATTTAATTCTATTAAGAAATTTAAGAGAATGTATGATCGGAGCAAGAATAGCCCATAATGTCAGATCGCCTCTAGGTTAAGAAGTCGGGATAGAGTGCTTGACAATAGATTCAACGGGATCAAACGTACGTTAGGTCCTTTTGTTTATGATTGACAACTTTTGGTTGAATGAATTACAACTGTTTTATCATTCAAAAACGTTTGTGTAAAGAGAAATTGCCCAATATAGGAGTAAACATAAACATATGAGAAAAGAGTCAAATAGGTCCCTGTACTTTAACAAAAAAGTCAATTGGGTCCTTAAACAATGTTCCGCCTCAATTAAATCCCCTAAGTTTGAAAAATTAACCAAATAGGTCATTTAAACGGTTAGCATCCGGTTAGCCGGTTCCTTGTTGACTTGGATGTATACATGTCATTATTTTAATGAAAATTATTATTTTTACCTATTTGTTAATATGATATATTTCTTATATATTTCCTTGTCAGCCAACCTAACGTAGATTAGCCAGCCGCATCCCCAACCCTAATTACTCGATCGTCCATTTCATCTTCTTCTACTGCGAATCAAAATGTCATCTGCATCTTCATCACCTGCCAGAAAAGGACGAACCATTACTCTTGATTATGAGCCGGCGGTGTACTGTTATTGTGCTTTGAAGGCCCCCTTGTGCGTAGCTCGGGAGAGTGGGAGAACATTCTACGGCTGCCAAAAATGGAAGGTAATTCTTTCTGAAATTGCTAAAATTTTGTGTAAAGTTTTCAGTATATAGTTGAACATTAGGATACTCTTATCATTTCAATGAACCTATATAATTAGTGACATTGCATTCCAGGTTGGATGTGGATATTTTGTGTGGAAAGATTCTCTGGAAAGTAGATATGCAGTTCATGGTGAAGAAGTGAATCAAGATATGTTTGAAGGAAAGAGCATGATCTCCAAGCTAGCTGACCAGTTAAGCGGAGTACAAGGAAAAATTGAATGTCTTCAGGAGGTTGTTGAAACTGAAGCGAAGGATGCTAAAAAGTTTAGAAAAGTGGTTGGAGTTGCTGTTATTGCAGTTCTGGGTTTCCTTACCATGGTTTACTGTAATCAGCTTCAAATGTAATACTTTGAGTAGACTATAATTGTAGTACTTAGGAAGCTTGGTCTGCATTTTGTACTGCTGTGTAAGACTCGGTTGGAATGCATTAGTGTAATAAACAATGAGTGATGGCCTTGAACTTGTGTTGTACTATCCTTGACTCCTTTAATAAAGTGTGTGTAAGAATTGATTGCTTGGCCTACTTTTTCAGTCATCACATGTGTGTTCTTTTTGTAAAGTAGTTGTGCTATTAAAGAATGAATATGTGTAGTGGTTGTGCTATTAAAGAAAAAGAATATGTGTAGTATGCAGAAACATGGTAACAGATCAAGTGAAATGAACCAAGTTAATAATATAAAAATGAATAAGACTGTTGACATGTTCAGTATCAAGGCTGGACTCAGCACCAACAAAAAACCAGTAGTATAAGGCTTAAGTCAGTGTGTAGTATAAGGCTGAAGTTAGTACCAACATTATTGACATAGTTCAAACTAAAAACCATAAATTGACATGTTCATTGGAGGTTTTTCAGTAACAATAATTCCACCAAATGTACAGCAAAATGCATAACAGTAGTAGGGCCGCACAAGGCCAATCAGTGTTTACTTTGAGGGCCACAAAAGTGCCATACTAGCCACAAGTTCTAGAGACAAAAAACAAAAACAGTAGGTGTACCACCTACATTTTACAGCACTTGCCTTTATGTACTACAAAACAAAACAAAAACAAACTTCTAAATCTTGAACTTCATCTCTTCCCCTTCATCTAGATCCTCCTCCAATGACCATTTCACTTCATAGCAGCTCAAAATTCACAACAAAAGCAAAAACAAAACACTTGTAAATCTGGAACTTCATCTCTTTCCCCCTTCATCTGGATCCTTCACCAATGACCACTTCACTTGCTTGTCCAGGCTGCCATGAGGTAAATAAAATTAGATTTCAAACATATATATTTATATGACTCACATACAACACACTTCACTTACATCTACAATAGTTTCACCAGTGCTAGCATTGAAAAATACCCCAAATCCCCTCTCAGATCTAGACTTCTTACTCCTTCCTCTCCTTCCTCTAGGTTGACTTGTGCCACGACCTTCAGGTGCAGAGGATCTTCCTCTAAGAGCTGTTTGGCCTCTTCCCCTCCCCCCTTTGGCTCCTTGTTCAGTCTGTGGTATTCCACCTTCAGGGACTGCATTACCAGCTTCAGATGCAGATGCAGATGATCTTCTTTTCCCTTTACCCCTTATATTTGTTCCTCCTGTTTCAGATGGAGATGCAGATGGTTCCTTATTCAGTCTGTTAGCACAAGAAGCTTTGTTGTGTCCTTCTCCGTTACAAATGGAGCACTTCATTATTCTACCTTTTCTGCTTAATCGGGTACCACTCCTTGGTGGTTCACTTTCTTCTCTTATCCTCCTCTTCTTGGGCCTGCCAGTCATCTTCTTGGGTAAGGGAGGCATTATCTCTTCAAACTCTGTGGCAGGCCATAATAACTCACCATTAATAGGTTGGAGGGTATATGAATAAGTCCTTTGATACAGCTCTTTGGAGTAACAATTGTCTACATAGTGCTCCGGATCCTCTCCTTTATCAAATATTGCACAAATGGCATGTGCACAAGGGATTCCAGAGAGATCCCATCGCCTGCAAGAACAGGTTCTACCATTTAGGCTGACTTTGAATTGTTGTCTTCCTTTTTTGATTTCATAACCATCATCCCCATTGAAGTCCACTTGCCAATCTTCACTTGCTGAAATATTTCTATTTAGCTTTTTCAATATGATAGGACCATAATTTCCTGAAATGGATGGATGCATAAGTGAACATATACACAGGTGGGTTCTGAAGCACTCAAGAAATAGACCATATATGTACAACATACATAATTCATAACATGTAGGTTCATAACTCAACATATACTGCATGTTTGCATATATGACTGAAGAAGTACAACATACCCACTTCATAAGTCATATACCCAATTCATATACTTATAGGTTCATATACCCACTTCATAAGTCATACACACTTCATATATGCTCAGTTCATATACTCATAAAGTACCACACTCTTTCTGATTCATATAGGTTCATACGTCAACATATACTTATAGAAAATACATATACTCAGTTCATATTTTCATATAATACACACATTTTATGATTCATATAGGTTCATAAGTCCACATATACTAATATAAAATACATAGTCAGTACATATACTCAAAACTAAAGAATTATCATAGTCAGATCAGTCCATAGCAAATACAGACACATATACCTGGCCACCTTTGAACATATTTTCTCTTCTTTGCAATTCTTTTCATTGTAGCTACCCTAATATCCTCCAGCATAGGAATCAGTGCCTTGCTTCTGCATTGTAATAAGGTGCTGTTGAAAGCCTCAGATAGGTTGTTATCTACGGTGTCACACTTCACTTGAGTTCTGAAATATGCCTTGCACCATAAGTTGAAAGCGTATTTGCGCAAATCCTTTCCAGCCTCAGGATTTATCTTGTCTAGTTCAGCTAATGCAGCCTGGAGTTGTGGTTCACATGTTGACTTAGCACACTTCCAAAACAGGTTCCTCAACACCAATCCTCTGTGTAATTTGCTCCAGTTGGCGTGTATGTGTCTAGCACAATTTCTGTGCTCAGAATCTGGAAGGATATTGGCAATGACATTTGACAGACCCTGTGATATTTTCATAAATGATACATGATGTTAAATAGCAATTTATGAATAATAATATAGGGAAAGGCAGAAACACAGTTACACACCTTTTGTTGATCACTAATTATAGTCCACATATGTGGATTAGTGATTTGCAAATCTGCCTTTAAGAGGCTTAAAAACCATGACCAGGATGAGTTGTTCTCTATCTCAACAACAGCCCAAGCGATTGGGTACATTTGGTTATTCCCGTCCCTACCAACAGCAGTAAGAATCTCACCCTTTAACTGTCCTTTTAAAAAACACCCATCCAATCCTATGATCTTCCTGCAACCTTCCATAAAACCATGTTTGACCGGTCCAAAACACATATATATTCTTTGAAAAATTGCAGGTGCTTCAGGTACAACTCTGACAGTGTGAATGATCACAGTGGAATCTGGAATAGACCTTAAACACTCCTCAGCATAATTTCTCAATTTCTTAAATTGGTGTTTAAAATCTATCTGGCTTTTCTTATGTATATCACGCACAACCCTTGTGGCCATACTAGTAGAAATATGTATTTTCATTTCAGCTTTAACTAGTTTCTTCAAGTCTACTCCACCCATGGTAGGATTTTCAACTACCTTATCCTCAAATGTGTCAACTATCCATTTTTGGCTCACTATTCTCAGCTTAAACTTGGAGTTGCATTTATGTTTAGACTCTAGAACTTTCACTTGGAAACACTTAAGGTTATCTTCCCAACTAGCATAGCAAAGATAAGGGCAGTTTAAAGCACATTCAACTCTAACTCTCATAGAATCATTCTTAACAAAATGTAAATCCTTCTTGTTAACCACTGCATATTTGATAATAGCATTCTTGAATTGTCTAGAATCTTCAAATAGCATAGCCAACTCAATAAGGGGAGGATCAGAGTCCGGATTGTAAGAAACATTGGTGATCTTTGGGCGGCTAGAACTACCATCATCTGCATCTTCCTCACCAATGTAGCTTGGAGGATTGGATGAATCATACTCTACACTGTCTGCCTCCTCATCACTGTTTTCCTTACCATTTGTACCCTCTCCTTCATTTGCTTTTGTCTGTGTACCACTATCATGTGAGTGAACATGGACTTCATTAAAGATTTCTTCCTCTGAGTCTGCCTCACCCTCACCCTCACCCTCTGCCTCACTCTCTGCCTCACTTTCTGATTGTGGCTGACCTTGAAGTTCGGTTTCAGAAACTGATTCTACCTGTACTTCACTGTCACAACCTCTATCACCCACTACATCAGTTGGAGAAGGGGCATCACCCTGTGTGTCCTTTGTATTCACCTCAGATTCTTCAACAACATCAGCTACTGATACACTTGTAATTTCCGTGTGTATGTTTACGTTTTTAGCTAGTTTTGGTTGTTTAGTATTTCGGAAATTACACACTTTTGGTGTAATAGTTTAGTTTGTTGAATTCTTGTAATTTGTTTAGATTAGGGTCATTCTGAGCTCAAACAGGTCTACCATCACTCAAAGGACAGTTGGTGAACCCCAAAAGTGGAAGGAAGGTGCAAAATCACAAGACAAAAGGGAAAATCCTGATTTTGGTCTATACTCGTTCGAGTATTACCTATACTCGATCGAGTATAAGGTTGAAACTTCAAATCGGATCGGATCCGAAGACAAAGGAACATGCCGGGAAGATTTTGGCCACGATTTAGTGTCTATACTCGATCGGGTAGACCGACATACCCGATCGAGTATGCCTTTGAGTTTAAATCCGAAATCGGTCGAGTATGGCTCGAATATCACTTTCTGCACATACTCGACCGAGTATGAACATATACTCGATCGAGTATACCTCGAATCTGGTATTTCTACACATACTCGATCGAGTATCTGTATATACTCGATCGAGTACCCGAGCCTGCACCTCAAAAAGCCTATAAATACACCTCCTTTCCTTCACTTTGACCAATTCCTATATACTCTTAAGCTCAGTTTAGAATAGCATTTCTTTATATTTCTTTTAGCATGTTTAGTCTCCAAATGAGGAGCTAAACTCTCAATTCTTGGTATTACTCTTGAAGCTTGTTGATTATTAAAGTTGTGAGTTATTTTCTTAACTTCTTTTCCTTGAATATTAATTCTTCCTTTAAATACTATTTCTATATCAATGTTGGGGAGTGTTACTAAGATGACAATTAGTTAACATCTTGACATTGGTTTTAGTAATAGCTATTCCTTCCTCTATGTTAATATCGGGGAGTGTTACTAAGATGACAATTAGTTAACATCTTGATATTTAACTATAGTAGGATTCATTCCCTTTAATATTCTTCCTTGAGTATTAATTAATTCCTATTCATATTTCATATTAATATTTTGAACATTACTTAAAGGATCAACTAGTTTTGTTCCACATATTAATTATTACTAGAAACGATCAACGAACCGATGGTTAATCGTTGATAGTTTCACAAGTAAGTAACTTCGGTTTGTTAATGCACGGTCGTGGTTAATAAACTTAAGAGGGATTAATTTTGTTG